ATTATCAAACAGTTTCTACATGCTGGGAAGGGTGCTGGATTGAACGAGACCTTACCAAAATAAGACTCAGGTACTAGTGTCATAGTCTTCCCATGGGAGATCTGAATTTTCATTTGAGTTTGTGTATTAAAATACATATTGATGGAATATGTAGAGAAATGTTTTGACCTGCAGAGGAATTTTTTTTCTGAATCAGATTCAGATTTTTTATCTGAATCAGATTCGCTGGCAAAGACTGTTTCCAGGAGCATCAGCAAAGTGAGTGTGTTATTCCTGGGAAAATCAGCTCCAGGAAAGTATTGTGTAAGAGACTGGGTCTTGATAAGGAAGGAAAGTCCGTCAGTTGCTCTAACGCGTGTCACTGAGCTGGTCAGGCATTGGGCAGTGTCGGGTACCCGTTACACACAAGGCATTAGCTAGGTGGGCTGTGAGAGGGCAAACTCCTGTGTTCAGGAACCTGAAACCTCCTAAGTGTTTCATAAATGGGATCTAAACTGAAGTGGCTGGAGGTGCATTCGTGCTGTGTTCAGATTTATGCCCTTTTTGGGATGTGCATTACATTTTAAGGAAAAAAATTCCCCCAGAAAAGGGCTTTGGGAATTCAACCTTAGAAGAGGCTCTTCCCAGCTGAAAGCATGTGGGAGAGCCACCCCACAAGGAAACTACCCTTCAGGCTTTAAGTTGTGTTGTTTCTGAAAGTTTGTCACAATCAGGACAAGCTGATTTTATTTTCGGGGTACCTGATGATGTCGTTGCCATCAGTGTAGCAATAACTATTTCCCAGAGAGGCCTTCTGCATCTCGCCAGGCAGCCCGAAGCTTGTGATGCCCACTCACCCACTGGCCTCCAGCAGCCCGGAGAAGCAGGTTACAGTTATTGTTGCCATTGACAGGCAGAAGTTGACACATGACAAGAGGAAGTCATTTGCCCGAGATCACCCAGCTAAGTACGTGGTGGACCAGGATGCACGCTGCTCAGTCCGGCTTATCTGTGTCCCAGCAGAGGTTTCCAGATGGTCCTGGAGTCCTCCTGGGTCCTAAGCCGTGTATCATAGTGCAGCAATTTGAAGACATTTGTTGTCTTTTCCATTCTTGCTCTCTCAAGGGTGTACCGTGGCGCTTTCCAGAATGTATGATATGCACTGTTACAACAGCACGAAAGCAGAGGCAAAGATGGGACCAGCTGACTTCTGCAGAGCCAGATACTGCTGAGATTTACCAAAATGGAGAACAATGCCATTCTCCTCAAAAAAATTTTTTATTTTGCAAATGTAATCGTTTTTCATAACTGATAAGATTTATGTTAATACTTAGATGGGCTTATTGTTGCTTTTAATGAATTAAGGAATATTTAAACTTTTGTCTCTCAATTTTTAATGGGACAAATATCTACAGGTATCATGGACATACGCAAAAGTCCTGTGGAGTCCCTAAAAGTTTTTTAAGAATGGGTAGACACCCCGAAACCAAATGCTGGAGAATCACAGCCCTACACAGTTCTGCTTTAGACAGCTGCCACCAAAAAGCTGGCTTTGTGGCTGCATCAGGAACTCTGCAGTCAGAGCCACTTCTGTTTTGGACCTGTCGCATCCAATTCATTCTTCCTCTCCTGCCATGAAGCCGGGAGAGCAGTGCCAGCGTTCTGCGATGGCCGGAGAATTAGCTGAGAAAGCAAAAGGAAGCTGCTTCCTGCAGAATAATCACTCCAGTGACCCTGAACCTGGAGCTTTTCTTGTGTCCCTGCAGGTGATGGAATTTTACTGCCAGTCCTGCGAGACCGCCATGTGTCGTGAGTGTACGGAAGGGGAGCATGCAGAGCACCCCACAGTCCCACTCAAGGACGTGGTAGAGCAGCACAAGGCCTCCCTCCAGGTCCAGCTGGACGCTGTCAACAAGAGGTGGGACACCCCGCCCCCCACCAGGCACCCATGCGAGACACCGGCCTTATGGTCTCAGTGCTATAGTAGGTTCAGGTTACCCTTACAGGTATCAGTCGTTATGCCGTGAATAAATTCTCCTTTGATCCCAGGTCTGTCCTCTTCTTGGTAAAATTCCAACTGCCTTTCGGTGGCATTTTTTTCTATTAATCTCTTAGGAGGATTAAATGAATTAAAGTACACTCACTGAAAATGCTCTCTGGAGATCTCTGAAATTTATGCCTGAACCCAGCCCTGGAGAGCTCCATAGATGTTCTTCTGGACAACTTACAGGCCCCATGTGGTGGCCGGGCGTCTTTCTCCAGTGAGTCCTGCAGCATGGTATTGAGCTCTCTGCTTCTAGGTTCTCTGGCACAGACCTAGGGGATCAGAGGAGCTCTGTTGTGAGAAAGACCAGAGGGAATTCACAGCAGCTGAGAAGCAAACAAAACAGCAAATATCTTACCAATAGTCGGTACCCATCATAAGAAAAGTATGATTATTCTAAACTAATGAAAAGAACTTGGAAACTTCTGAAAAGTTCCCAGGAAACTCTCAAGTTGGTTAAGTCTTCTATGGTTGGGAAAAAAGATGCAGTTGCATAAGTAGATCAGTGGTTCTCAACCCTAGATATTCTGTCCTCCTCCCCTGGGGGATGTTTGGCAGTGCCTGAAGACATTTTTGCTGTTGTGACTGTGTAAGATGATGCTACTGGCAGCTGGCAGAGGACAGGATGCTGCTAAACATCCTCTAGAGCACAAAACAACTCCCTGCAGCAGAGGACTATTTGGCCATAATGGTTTTTCCTAGAGCGTCAAGTCTTGCACTATCAGTGATTAAAATTAGTTGACTGAAGACACAAATAGATGTGGACCTTCAAAGTCTCGTTCATTCCATTGTCCATCAGTCCATTTTTCCATTAGCCCATTTTAAAGATGACAAAAGGCATAGAAAAAAATTTTTAATATAAAATAGTGTTTGGATACAGTACTTGGGGATATTTGACGTTAAAGATCTTTAACAAATGTCCCTCAGGCTCCCGGAAATAGATTCTGCTCTTCAGTTCATCTCAGAAATCATTCATCAGTTAACGAACCAAAAGGCCAGCATCGTGGATGACATCCACTCCACCTTCGACGAGCTGCAGAAGACTTTAAATGTGCGAAAGAGCGTGCTGCTGATGGAACTGGAAGTCAACTATGGCCTCAAACACAAAGTAAGACTGGTGTTCTTGGGGATCCCACAGGGGCTGTGCTGTGAGGGCCACTTCAGAGTGCTGGCTTACTGTATCCCAGTAGCAGCAAAGGGGACTCAAATAGGTCCTTAAATGTCACCATTATATTTTTTTTTTGATGGTACCAGGAATCAAACTCATGACCTCATGCTTGCAAGGCAAGTGCTGTGCCACTGAGCTATATCCCCAGCCCGAATGTCACCCTTGTATACTGTCATCTTCATTTAACAAAATACCCGGTTTTATTTTTCTTTCCTGTTTTCAGCACAACTGTATGATTCCTTGACCTTAAGTACCAATTTATAATTTGACAACAGGTGAGGCTGGAGATCACCGTGCTCTCGGGGTTGGGGGTTAAACTGGATTTTCCCTCCTTAATTATAACGTGGAATCGTCTCTTAATTGCTCTCCTTCCACACCAACCTGTTAGTCAACTTCCAAGCGAGCCCTGACTGCCCTCTTTGTTCGGCTCTGCATGCCAGTTCACAAAGCCCAGTGCTGAGCGCTTCTGGTATTTAGGTGTGGAGACCTCCTGTGCTTGGTTTCTGTTCCTTTCGGTGGTGACGGGGGAGCTTGGAATGTGGGGAAAGATGCTGCACAAGGAATGTTTCAGATGTCAGGCCCAGCAACTGGTCCGCCACAGCTCTTGGTGTGACAGTTTCTCTTTGTCCCTATGCAAATCCGAGATCCAAAAAATAACAGTGTGGGAGATGAGGCAGGGTGAGGAGGTGCTGGAAGGCAGGGGAGGGTGTTGCATTAGAACCCGGTTCGCTGGGCTCGCCTGTGTGGGAGGGGTGGGAGCCGGTTCCTGCACAGGAGGGCGCTGCCCAGCTGCCTGGCAGGCTCCCCGGGCCGAGGCGGGCGGGGCAGGCTCACCCGGCCTCCGTTTTCCGCAGGTGCTGCAGTCGCAGCTGGATACCCTGCTGCAGGGCCAGGAGAGTATCAAGAGCTGCAGCAACTTCACGGCGCAGGCGCTGCACCACGGCACGGAGACCGAGGTGCTGCTCGTCAAGAAGCAGATGAGCGAGAAGCTCAACGAGCTGGCCGACCAGGACTTCCCGCTGCACCCGCGCGAGAACGACCAGCTGGACTTCATCGTGGAGACCGAGGGCCTGAAGAAGTCCATCCACAACCTCGGCACCATCCTGACCACCAACGCCGTCGCCTCAGAGACCGTGGCCACGGGCGAGGGGCTCCGGCAGACCGTCGTGGGGCAGCCCATGTCCGTGACCATCACCACCAAGGACAAGGACGGCGAGCTGTGCAAGACGGGCAACGCCTACCTGACGGCGGAGCTCAGCACCCCCGACGGCAGCGTGGCGGACGGCGAGATCCTGGACAACAAGAACGGCACGTACGAGTTCCTGTACACCGTGCAGAAGGAGGGCGACTTCACGCTCTCGCTGCGCCTGCACGACCAGCACATCCGCGGCAGCCCCTTCAAGCTCAAGGTCGTGCGCTCGGCAGACGTGTCGCCCACCACCGAGGGCGTCAAGCGGCGCGTCAAGTCCCCGGGCAGCGGCCACGTGAAGCAGAAGGCGGTGAAGCGGCCGGCCAGCATGTACAGCACCGGCAAGCGGAAGGAGAACCCCATCGAGGACGACCTCATCTTCCGCGTGGGTGAGGGC